ATATATATATATATATATATATATATATTTTTTTATTTATTTATTTTCATCTGCCAGCTCCCTGGATTTGGGTTCTGCTCTTCATCATTTCATAACAAAAATGACCCATACTTAATTCCCCAGGCAAGCCTTATTGTGCACTGAGGTCAAAAACCGCTGATTTTTTTTGCATCAGGATACCAAATTCAGGGTACAAACCCTACCATTAGCAAATAGGATTTGCAGGAGTAAGAAGGTTAATGTGAGTGCGGCATAATCCAAAGTCCAGGAAGGTCTTCCAACTGAAATAAAACGCAGCATAAACTCGGTTCAAGGATTTAAAGTATACTCGATTTGATTTCAACTCACAAGAGCCCGTGTGGAGTGTGAAACCACATGACTTTCCAAATGGCCACGATAAATATTCAGCCCTGACAAAGCAGTTGATCATCATCGAAACAATGGAAAACCAACCCTGTCAGAGCTCAGTCAAGGTCTTCTGATGAATGCATCCTATTAAACCAGTGGAGGCTGGGATTTTTTTCACTTCCTCCCCATCATGGCGCCATGTTGTGTGTCACGGCGTCCTGTGACATGCAGCTCGTTTGGCACGACTCTAGGGATCTCTAATACCCCTGCAGCTTTCATAATGAACATGTGGCTTTTCTCTCTTGGGCACAATTTAGCGTAATTCATAAGCAGAGGACGGGGCATTAGCCAGATGGTGCTGTGGGTGGCATCCTTTCTCTGGCCATCCATTAGGACTGCGTTGGTGACAAGATTCCAATAAGGAAAGACAGACAAGGTTTCCACTTTCAGAATTCATCCAACTGTGTATATGTGTGTGTGTGTGTGTGTGTGTGTGTTTGTGTGTGTGTGTGTGTGTGAGTGAGTGGCATGACAACATTAAATGTGGATAACAGGGATGTGTACCGCAAATGCAGTCTTTGGGGACAGATGTAGTGTAATGAATACATGTAGATTTTGTAAAAAGAAAAGAAAAAAAGTAAATTGGTTGTGCAGCATCTTCACTAAATACTAAATGTTATGAACACAGTTCCTCTGGGATCTGCACATTAGTTAATAACAGATTCTCTGTTTAACTACAAAATGTCCTCTTTACAACTAAACATGCTTGGATTGCTTAATGTTGCCTTCATTCACAGGAACAGCTGCATTCTCAAAAAAAAAAAAAAAACAACAAACGAAAACAACTTGATTTTATTTAGGGGCATTTAAATTAAAGTAAAGATTTAAAATAAGCATTGAATTTAACGCATTGTATGATCAAAGATTGGTATCTTTTGAAACCTTTCAGAGATTTTGCATTTTTCCACATCTATTGATCCACTTTCACCACTTTCACAGTTTCTTGGACAGATATGTCAGATATGTAGTGTGAGGTATGCGCAGTTACTGCAGGCCCAAGTTCCTGAAGTAGGCTGATGAAGGTTAATAAATAAAATTTGATTCAGTGAAACTCTTAAGGAATGAAAGGAAGAGAGTCAACAATATAAAACAGGTCACAAAATATCACAACATGAAAATCAGACCAGGAGGACATCACCAAAATGAGACAAAAAAAAACAAAAAAACAACAACAACCTGGGATAATCAAGAAACTGTAGACAATAACCCCAAAAACTTTGCAGCACAATTACTGTGCTTCTTCTACAAAACTCCTCCTCCTGACCCCACCTATCAGTCCATCAAAATCTATCTTCATACAGTCCAGTTTAATCCAAGTCATGCCATAATGCACTCAGAGCAGAAGCTGAATAAACTGCATCATGTCACTGACTTTGCGGCAATCCTTCATTCTGATCAAGCACGTGGTGAAAGTGGAAATAAACAACTTCAGTTTGTGCTTTTTAATCCATGCATAGTTATACTCTTGTGACCAAATGCTTGGCGTTGTGTAGCGTCAGCTGCCTGCTGTCAGTCTAGAATTTAAACGTACCGCTATAATAATGTGAGGACTCAAAATGTGACATCTCTATGAAAAATAATACGTTTCAGAGGGATTTTCATTGATTTTTCCTGTTGCATGTCATAAAATGTCAAACCTAATTAGTTGCGCTTTAAAACAAAGCAGTCTTGAATGACATTATGTGAATAAAGTGGGTTTTGATGAAGCTGCAGCATATCATATTAATGCGTGAAAAATCCGGACGCATGACTAAAAAAGGAGCAACTGATTCTAGTCTATTCCTAACTGAGTGATATCTACAGACACACACTTCCTCTGAGTGATTGCAACTGACACAAACCCACGTACACTGTCACACACTTTCACACACTTTCTGATCAGCGGCTCTGTCTTGCGTGGCTCTCGCTTCGTCAGTGGAGGTGTCAGGGTCCCCATGGCAACAGCATAATGGGCCAGGCCTAATTCAATCCCAGGGGCGAACTGTGGGTCTGGCGGGGGAGATGCAGGAGGAGGAATCGGTCTGGGTCTGAAACCCATTCGAGTCAGGGCTGATGTGTTTTTAGCTGCTGCTATGCTGGGTCACTGAAGAGAAAACACTGTGTCCACGCTCAACTTTCACATCCACTCTCAATCTCGCCTTTGCTTCTCCTCCACGTACATTCACGCCCTAATTTATTTTCCACCACGCTCCGCTTCTGTCTATGCACTCACTTTTCAGTTCCCCCTTCTCGGACTCTCGTTCCCCCATCATTTCCTCCTATCTTGGTCCAGCTTTGGTCTCCGCTCAATCAATACTCTCTCAGTCTTCACGCTTCTCGGTATTCTCTCATTTTCTCCCACATTCAAGGAACCCTGCAGGACTTCATTAGGAGCTTTGGATCTTGTTGTATTATTGTTATCCCTCCCCGAAGAAGGCAGGGATTAGTGGCAGGACTGGAGACAACTTAAAGTAATAAGCTCGGATTGGAACGTCTGCAATCGCACAAATGCACGCGCCTTTACGGCTGCAGAAGGTGAGCGGGGAAAGGAGAGATCTAAATGCGAAAGGGTGGAGGCAGCAATCCCACAACTCCTGTGTTGTTATTTCCGTGCAAAACCAATCACACGCGGCTTCATATGTGCCGCCCAGAGAGAGTCGGGCTTGCAGCTTGTTATGGAAGGAGCAGTTTGTTACCCGGGGAGAACAGTGCATAACTCCTGTCACTGGTTCTGCATATAGAAAGGCCTGGGACTGGCCTGGGGCTATCTGCTTGCAGATGGGGGAGGGCGAGGGCGGGAGGAAGGATGTGGGTAGATTTGCATCCCTTTGACTGTATATCTCTGAGCACCAGAGGAAGAGGAGAGGAAGAGGTGAGGAAAGAGTGTGTGAATGCACCAGAAAATACACGGCGAGCGCTGCTAGCTGTAGCCGAGGTTCTGCGACTCATGCCATCTATTTAATCCAATCTGATTTACATACTGTAGTGCTCACCACAGTTGCACTTGACATAGAGTGTTTTTCACTAACACAAGCCACAGTCATGAGAGGGAAACTGTTGAGGCAAAGCAGCACTGTTCACACAGCCGTGCACAGGCTCACAGACCGGCCATTACGCTGACTTGAATGGATTTCTTGTGTGCATGAATAGCTCAGTGAGAAGGGGGGGGAAAAAAAGGACTATGTTTCCTCTCCATGGGTTCATATTGATATTCATAGGGCCTCTCCGCACCGAGAGCACAAATGTCAGTGAAAGCGGCCTTGATATATGCTCTCATTCTCTCCTCTTCCTGTCGCTCCATCCTTCTTTTTCCCCCCTCCGTCTCTCTTCCTCCTTCTTTGTTCCCTTTTCGCTGGACACATGCTGCCAGCTGCTGCCGGATAGAAAGGAAGAAGAAGGAGCGAGGAGATGATGGAGTGAGCGGGGGACATTATGTTGCTTCCCATTTAGGCTTTTAATCAACTAGCACTGGAATGTTAGGACTTTCTCTTCCTGTGGAGCCTTCCCACCTTGACCCTGATGGCGATTAATGCTGCAGTAAGCAGTCTCGGGTCATTTTAAATGTGAAGTTTTAGTCAACAATACAAAAAATGAATGTTCTGCAATCAGTTCCACTTATGTTTTGTATCTAAGGAACGTTTTACAGGAGAGGGAAAAAGGAGTCAAGTGCGTTTTTCCTCCATTTTTCAGCTTTTAGTGTGACAATATATAAACACAGGCAAATAGATTTAGGGTCTTTGGACAGCCATCCGGCAAGATGTTGGCAACAACAGCAAGATATGAAAAATATTTTTGGGTCGGGAGTAGGCAAGGTGCATAAATCTTTCCATATTTGTTAATTGTCTTTGGAAATCCTTGGATGTTGAAATTATTGGAACAGTTTTCTTTCTAGGTGGAGGAAAATGTGAAGCTCGGGACGAGGGATATCTGTTAGGTTGATGTCTTACAAGTAGAAAACAAGGCTTCACTTAGCATAACCTGGTACTGGAGGATGAAACTAATAGTCTTCTGCAATTTTCAGACTAAAAACTCCAGAAACAGGTAACATGAGCAGTCTGATACATGGGTAAGACATTGTAAAAAATGAATTGAAGAAACAATACATCATGTTGTATATAGCATAGCATTTCTGCTTTTTAAATAAATTTTATGTCAGACAATTTCCATGTTTCACTCAGCATGTTTCACAAACAAAGAGTGTGTTTGCCTATGCAAAAGTAGAACAACACAACTACTTTAAGTTCTTGTATTTGGACTGTCAGTTTTTAATAAATTTGTCTTTAAAACTGTACTCCTCTCCTCCTGCAGCCATCATTACAACAAGAACAAAACTCTCTTGTTCAGCCTGAGATTCATCTTGGGATATGGTAGGCTACAAATTATACACCAGATGCATTTTTTTATATTCAGGAAATGGATTTGTAGGATGCATTTGGAAGAGCCTTTGAATTTGGATAGTCTTTGGTAACATCTCTTTGACGTCATTGGCTAATCATCTATACTAAAAGTGTACTTACACTTCTGAATTTGAACAAAGTTACAAAACAGTCCCTAAAAAAAAAAGTTCACTCTAAGTTTTCAGCCATTTAGCAAATAGAAATAATTTTGGTAATTCTAAACAACCTGAAACAATAAAAGTTTAGTCTGGTTTAACTTCAGACATTAAAAAAGTGTGTTTGTGTTTTTTGCTTGGTGTATCTAAATATCTGGTTTCAGCCTTATTAATTACATACGGGCTGATGTTTTCAGTCCTTTATTTTTTAATAATGATGGTTACGACTGTTCTTACTTTGCCAGAAAGAATTGCGGTAGGAGGCCACTGCAGCAATTGTTCAGACAGACTTCTCTTGGATGAGAAATTTAATGGCAGTTTATTATTGCGCCAAGTGGTATTGTCACTCCTCACTTTAGAAAAATCCTGAAAATTGACCTTTAAAGCACTTTCTGAAATAAAGCTTCATTCAAGCTAATTGCGGCTCTTCAATCCAAACAAAACTCTGTTTGCCTCAAGTTTGACTATAAAAGGAGACAATATTTTATCATTTAGGAAAGTTGAGCGGAGATAAGACAAGCTGACATGCACGAAACAAAAACTAGATGAGGCTCTTCAGAGTAGCAGCATGTTCCAGGCCAAACCTCACATAATACGAGATCAGTTCCAGTGACTTTTGGCTGACTTGTCACACAAAGCTCTGTGTATTCCAGTAGCTTATAATAATTACCAATACTGGAACCAGTAAAACATTTGTGGGCCAGAAATTGTGAAAGAATAAAATTAAATGACGTGTGTAAGTTTGTTCTGAGATTTTATGTCCCTCTGAGGCTCGTTGTGCTCTGGCTGAAAACGGTGAGAATGTCAGAAGAGGTAAAAAAAAAAAAAAAAAAAAAAGATGGCACCGCAGTGTGTGCTCAGGGTGTAAGTTATGGCCGTAACTTTCTCACTCTGTCAGGCGCTTTAACCGTCTGTCCTGGAGGACACATTAACTTGGTATCCTTAAATAAAGTCCTTTAAATAAAGCTGGGGGAGTTAAATAATGAGAAAGCTGCTCCCACTGTCCTTTCTGCTTTTAAATGAACCTCTGCCTTTCTTATTAATGTCCTCTTATCGCTCATCACGGCCACTGACCCGCTGCTGTAACCCCTTCCCACTCAAGCGCACGAGCAGCTCCGGCAAGTGGTCGGCACAGAAGTAATTGAGGGCAATTTTCAAATTAAAATTTAAACCCCTCGTCCATCTTCGCGCGACGGGTTGGGGCGTAGGGAGAAGGGGTTTTTGGTGGGGGCTGATGACTTGATCAGGTTTTGCAAGGCGGGCAGGTACTCGGGCTGGGAGAGGTAGGATGATGAACGAGGGGCATTAATCTCTGTGACAGAGAGAGGGGAGTTAGCAGCAGTGATAGCAGCGCTAACGGCTTTAATTAGCATTTAATCAGACGCCTCGGGGCCAATGGAGGGAAGAGAGAGGAGATCAAACTCCAGCGGCCTTCTGCGTGGAGGGAAGCAAAGAGAGACGGTCCCTGTGGTGGCTGAGCCGATGCTGGAGGCTGTGCTGAAGAACACATGTCTATGATCCTCTTTTTGTACTCCTGTAATGATAGCAAGCTCGAAGCACCGTAAAGGCCCTGGACCTTTTGTCGACGGAGGCAGAGTTGGATGAACATAGACTGCACTCGCAGATACTGCTCTGGCTGAGAGCTTTTCCTAGCTAGACTTCAGTAGATCAGCAAATGAGCACTGATAAGGATAAAACTCTGGAGGATTTGGAGGTAATAAAGCTTATTCTTAAACCCTTGTGCTTGAAAATCCCTCTGATTTTGCATAAACCATTGAATGCTTGTGAAATGAAGTGAGTTATCAGGATCCTGGGCATTTAACATCACAATTTGCTTATTGTTTTCCTGTATGTCTGTTTTTCTTAGGTTTCTGAACCTCTCGGTTAAAGTGCAGTCATCCATCAATGAACCCGTTTCTTAACCTGATAATTCTGTTCAGGCCTGTGTGGCGCCGGAGAAAATCCTAGAAGCACTTGTGCAAAACCATGCTGCACCCTGTACTGGTCACCAGTCAATGCATATTCATACACTTAAAGTCAGTTCAATTCACCATTAATGCCTGCATGCTTAATGGAAAGGAGAGTTTGCACCTGTTTGTGTTGAGAAAAGGTAGAATATGTTTCATGCTTTTTTTGCAGAACCAAACTGTATTTTGACCCAGCTCAGAATCTCACAGCTTCTACGATTTTAGCTGGTTTGGGACCGCAGACGTTGGAGCTTATTCAGGGGTGCCATTCGTGTAAGAACCACTGCTGAGAGGAAACAGCAGTGTGTCATGTTTAAGGAGAACATCAATCATCACCACTCAACTAACAACTTATTTATGTCATCCAAATTCAAACCTTTAGGAGTATGTCGGAAAGTGGGCAGGTAAATGGTAGCTGAGGATGAAAAAAGCTGCTGTGGACAGCCGTGAAGGGGATGATGATCTGGCAACAGAGAGATTTGGCACAGATAGCATGGAGGATAAACTAGAACAAGGAGAGAAGAAGCTTAAGGATGGAAAACTACTCAAGAGGTAGGCATACTTATGCTTGACTACTGATCATCTGGTGAAGACAGGTTGTCTCATAGCTCCTCCAATCCTCAGCAGACACAGAGAAGATTGCAGACAAGTGGGGAGTAGTAGCAGAACAGTCACGGTCCTCAGCCAAAATCTGTTGACATTTGAAATATTAAGATTAACTAGTTTTATTTTTGAAATTATCTGAAAGATCTGCAGTTGTAAACAGGACAATGCTACTTGTCTCCTGGCAGTTTGGGGGCCCTGAGCACATGAGTTTTTGGCTGGCCTTACCTTTAAGTCTTTTCTTTGTCAACACTGTATACACCCATCAGGCATATATTGAACACAGATGTCAATAACCCTAATTCGTTCTCCGTTGAGCCACCTATTAGATGGTGGGCGGTACATGAAAGGAAGCGTTAAATTTTTCTTTGATTTTATGTGTGAGAAGCAGGAAAAAAAAATAGCTTGGTAAGAATTGTGATAATTAGATTACAAGGTCAAAGCACTGCAGACATTTAAAGTCTCACTGAAGTGAACCTAACATTTTCAGGACTGCAGCTGGTCCGAGGGCTTCCTCTTCAGAATGCATGACTTCCATTCGCCTGCAACAACAAACAGCGATTTTGTAACCCTCTGATTTCTGCTGTTTGCCTGCAAGGATGAGAAGTTTGTCAGAGGCAGAAAGCACTTTAGAATCTAAAATCTAAACCGCTTCTCACAGCTGCAGCCTGGAAAATGGAATTAAGGCATGCTTCAGTGAAAAGAGTAAGAAGGAGAGCAAAAAAAACAAAAAAACATCTGAAAACCAAAACTGTTTTCTCCTCCTGTATGATTAGTTGGGTAATGCAAATGCTGAACTTCACCGAGGTGTCCTGTGGGACTCTCACTCTCAGTTATGGTTCGGACTATTTTTATTTATTTTTATTTTTTTACTATTTTTCTGTTTATCACTTATTTATATGGAAAAAAATATATTTAACAAGTAACGGTTCCATACAGCTGTTTCCGCAGGTTTATTACAGTGCAGTTTAACTTTGGCACCAGAGTAAACATTGAGGCTTTTTATGCTTTTCATGCAGGGTAAGACGCCACGAACACTTCAATGTCAAAAGCATCAAATGCATTTTATGAGCCTTTTTTCAAAGCATCTCAAAGAATCCTTCGCTGTCTTTCTTTTAGAAAAGGCGACCTTATCTGTCATGTAGTTCTGGACGTACAGTGCCTTGCAAAAGCATTCAAACCCCTTGAACTTTTACACATTTTTCACACACTGCAACCACAGACTTCAATGAGATTCTACTTTGCAGATTAGCAAAAAGTAGGAAATATTTTGTGGTAGCAGGCCTGAAAGTCTCTTGGGTTATGCTTTTAGCAATTCTGCTTTGAAACATTGCTAAAGCTCGGTTGGGTCAGTTGGATTGGGTGAAGAGTGTCTGTGACCGTCAGTTGTTAAGTCTTGTCACAGATCCTTAATTGGATTTAGGTCTTGACTTTGACTAGGTCATTCTTACAAATAAATATGAATCTATTTAAGCCACCTTGGAAGATTAGATTACACACAAATACATTAAACTGTTCAGCTGATTTCTCAAAGCAGTTGATTGTTACCATTTCCAGACTGATAGATGTTAATGAAAGAATTTTTTAACAGTTCTTTAATTTTTTTAGATTTTAGTCAACTTCAGGTTGTCAGGTTCTGTAAGTGTTTTCTTGGTTGTAATGAGGCCAGGCTGAGGCCACTGAAACTGAATGAAGCTTTCCAGAAGTTTGCTAATCACAGTTAAGTTCATGATTTAACAAAAGAGACATTTTTGCATAGGCTGGTTATCAAAAAGAAACAAAAATTTAAAAACCGTACTCCATCCTAACCCACGTTTTGCAATTTGTTTGACAACCTCAAACAAACAGGCAAGAGAAAGTTGCAAGGGGCCAAACACTTTTCCACAGCGCAGCACAGAAGCTCTAAACAATGGCTGCTTTCTATGTGTGGAAGCTACATAAAGGACCTACTATATGAGAAAATGTCAAGACCATGATGTAGAGTCATGGTGCAGCGAGAGTGTGTGTCAAAGAGAAGCGACGATGAGTGCTCCAGATAGAAGAAGGTTTGATGGTGATGGTGAGGAAGAGGGCTTTTGGCATGAAAGGGCCCAGTGTGTGATCATGATGTCATTAGAAGTATAGAATAAGACAGACTGGAGGAGGCTGCTGTGCTGTGCTGCACCCAGGGGACGTCATTACCAACTGGAAGTGAGCAGGGACCTGAGTACAGGTCAGACACACAGGAAGTAGGCTAAGACACACACACACACACACACAAAGTAAGTGTATGCTTACTCACATCAATGCACACAGAGAATTTCTCATAGGCAGGCATCCGTCACATAAGAAATGGACAGTCCTGTCTGGCGTCCGACAGCAGACTCCTGCTTTTGTTACTAAACCTGACAAATTCTTCAATATCCGAGTGGACACCTCTGTAGACAAATGTACCTCATTAATGAGTGCCCACAGATGGACAACACACACGCATACACACTTGCAGGCAAACCCACAGTCGCGGGCTCGTGCTGCGCTAAGTTGCAGTGTGTACACCGGTGTAGCCGTCTGCGCTTCATTACTGTTCACACACAGACAGTTGCAGTGTTTTTGTGTCAATGTTTAATGAGGGGCTGGGAGTCTGGGGACCTTGCTGCTGTCAGGAGCTCCCTTAGTCTGGAGCTACCACCTGTTCCCATTGGTTCCCTAAAGACCTAAGCACACAAACTCACACACACACACACACACACGCATCATATTAAACCATACGCAGACATACAGAGGCATGCAAACAAGAAAACAGCACACAAACAGCATGTCTACAAAGCGGGCACACACTTGACAAACTGCATACACTGATTTAGTCATCCTGTGGCACCACTGTCAGCGCTGGAAACGTGTAAACAGGTTATTGTGGTTGGCTGAGCCTGGCTGCCTGACAGAAGCTACAAAGACCATGGGAATATCAATTGATACATTTCATATTCCTCGTGAGCTCGCCTGAGATGACAGTGTGAGAGCTGCTGCCAGAGAGAGTGATCCATCTCTACCTTTATTTCTGACACGGCTGGTGTGATGGAGACCTGACCGGCTCTCGCTTCAGCGTGAGCCTGCAGGTTCAAAGGCCGCGTGACCATAATTCTCCGTGACAAACACTCTGAAACAAAATGTTACGGTGTTGATTAGAAATTTATATCTCTTCATTAATTCCATGAATGCCAAATAAATGATGCATTTGAATGCACGAGCTGAAATCTGTTGTGGCTTTCGTCTAATCCACAAAAAGGTTCAGAATTACTCCAGAATTTGAGGATATATTCTGCTCCACCCCGTAATATTTCAAACAAGCCTCACATAGTTACCAGTTTAGACACATACTAGACATGCAATAGTTTTAAACTATATACTTGTCCTGAAACAAAATGTGAGTGCAGGAAAATGTGCCCAACATATACCAACAGAACTCAAAATACTCTCTAAAACTGTCTTTTCCTCTATTTCTCTTGAAGAAAAAAACTGCATGTCAAATAAAACCATTCAAAAAATCTAAAATATCTCAGAATGACTAAAGTCAATCCATCTCCAAGTTTTACAAAATACTTAAAAAATAAAAAACCCTCCCCTTACAGCTTTAACCAGCACCTCTCAAGGCCTCTGGTTTTCGGTTTGGAGTTGATTTAAACTCATTTTGCACCAAATCGGTTCATCTCTGGGACACAGAATCCATCTCCCTCATGAACATTCTCTTGCAGTAAATTGTTTGAACAGATGAACTCGGAAACTTCAGCAGTCTGGAAATTTAACCCAAGGAGGAACCAGAATTGTGAAGGTCCTCAATTCTCTTGCTTGATCTTTTTGCTGCATTTTTCAATGGCGTCGCACAAGAAAGCAATGGGAATGAATAAACATAACATGCTTTAAAACAATTTACAGTTCAAAAAACTAACTTTTATTAAAACAAAAAAACAAATCAATTATTGACTCATTAACAAGATTATAAAACAGTGATTTAGTTACATAAATAAATTGATATCGGTGTATCAAATCTTAATTTCATAAGCATGTATACATGGGTCATTGTAATAAATAAAATGAGAGCGCAGAAGATTCCTACACAAACCAAAAAGAGTAGAAAATAAAAAAAAAATAAAATAAAAAACAGCTAGACGACTCAAGAGGAAACTGTTTCCAAAGAGAACAAGAGACACTGGAGGACGGTTTTTTTTTTTGTTGTTTTTTTTGTTTTTTCCCATCAAACACGCGTGAGGAATTGCTTTGTTAAAGCATGGAGTTACACAGCCATTCACTTACTAATTAAGGACACTAAAGCTGGGACCAAAAAGGTTGGTTGTCTCTCACCTCTTTCGAACGCGTTTGGTTGTTAGATAGATCTTCTGTTTGGTTACTTTAAAGCGTTAAGACAAGGCAAGAGAAAAGGCTGCTTTTTATCTTTAATCAACACAACAACACAGACAAGACAAAAAATGAAAAACAGAAAGAAAAAAAATCAGAAGTACGGTCAAAAAGAAAATAAATAAAAAAAGACTAGTTATGGGACGAGAGCAGCGAGCTTTGCAGAGGAGACTCTGGAAATGCTGCTGCAAATGAAGGGAGAACTGAGGAGGCTCCATTTTCTAAAAGCTAGATTTGTCATACTGAAGCTCTGAACCTGTGTACGATTACAGACAGGGATCCTAATACTTTTTCCTTTTGACAAAACTGCTCTGGCAGTTGTTATATTTTTTCCCAAAATGAGATGGAGCTGAGAAACATTCTGAAATGAACGGACAAAAACATTATGCCGTTTTCGTTTTCCCAAAACTAATTTCATGGTACAACAGCAAAAAAAATGTGTCAGTATCTTCACAACCTCTTGGTTGTGCTGACCAGCAACCTGAAGCAGTCTACCTCCCTCCCCTTTCTACGCATCAATCAGCAGGAATGAAGTACAGTCATCCTCTCTGAAAGAAACTTTTCATTTATTGATAAAAAAAAAAAAAAAAAAAAATCCAGGGTCTCAAACATAAACACTTGTGGCTTTGTAAGTCCAAAAAGAAATACCTTCAAGGTGGTCATGCTAGTCTTTCTGATATGTTAATTTGAACAAAAGAGGAACAAAACAGAAAAAAATGAGAAGACAAAAAAGAGAAAGCGATGGAGAGCCAGAGAGCGAGAGAGAAAGAGAGAGAGAGAAAAGAGAAAGAGGGAGAGAGCAAACTACAGCGGCTTCAAGTATTTCACATTACATAGAATACTCTGTATAAATTAGTTAACATATACTTTCAGATCCTCCATATTCAGACATATACTATGGCATATATACAGAGTACAATAAATGCTTGCTCATGTCGTGTTTCTTTTTTTTTTTTTTTCCTTTTTCATCCTCGAAGTGAGACGTTCGATTTGTTCCACCTTTTTTTTTTTTTTTTTTCTTTTTTTCTTTTTCCTGCGTAGAGAAAATCCCTGAGAACGTTCCGGTTGCTGAATGTTCCACGTGACGAAATATAACAGTAGAAAGTCTAAATGTTTGTGATTCACATGCACAGAGCGGAGTGACACTGGCCTCGGCTGAAAACACCTTACAGTGAGGGCCGCGAGGAAGAGGGAGGGGCAGCAGAGCAGAGAAGGGACTTCAGGAGGATTCTGACTCTTTGTTTCCGTTTAACGCTGGATTTCAAACATTTTTTTTTTTTTTATTATTATTTTTTTAATTAACACTGTGAGCTATCATAGTGAATAAATATGAACGCAAAAACTGGGAGCAGGTTCAATACCACATTATGAGGTAGCCATCTCCCCCCCGCACCCCCCCCAAGGAATTTCTTGCGCAAAATAACCGCAACTACAGCTGCTTACAAAAGGATTCATACTCTTTGACTTTGAGTCTCAAAAGTGTGGCATGCATATGTATTCAGCCCCTCTTTACTCAGTGCTAGAGAACATCGGTGAACAGAATAGTGAACACACTAGACAGGTCAGGGATAAAGTCAAGTCAAGATTCCAAGCTTCAAACATCTGAAAAGAGGAAAAAAAAAAAAAAAAAAAGTGGTGCAGCTGCAGCCTTGCCGAGTTATGACCATCCACCTAAACGGACAGGCCAGACAACAAGGAGAGTGTTACTCAGAGAACCAGTCAAGAAGCCCATGGGAACTCTGGAGGAGATAGAGATCCTCAGCTCAGGTGGGAGACAAGACGACTACTATTCTTCCTTATATTTTTGTTCTAATTCAAGTCACTGCTTTAAAACATGTTTTGCAGTTTCCCTGTGTCCAGCATACAGTTTCAGTAATTTTGTGTTTGACTTTTGAAAAACTTTGGTACAACATCCTTATATATCTTATGTAAAACTGACCTTGACCTAGTTGTGCACTCCAAAAGTAAGGCTTCTAAGGAAGACTGCCAAGGAGGAAGCCAGTGTTGAAAGAACGGCATGAAAACAAAATCCCAGCTGCAATCTGCCACAAACCACGGAGGAACACTCCAAATATGTGGTCAGATGAGGTCAAAATCAAACATTCAGCTTGCAATCTAAAACACTACGTCTGGCAGAAAACCAACAATGAACAATATCCTGACAACAACTCGGCTATAATGAAACAGAGTGTTTGCAGAGTCATGCTGTGGGGCTGTGCTAATTGAGCAGGGAAAGAAAACTGACAGAGTGGATAAGATTGACCGAGTTTAATAGAGGACAATCCTGGAAGAAATAAAGGGTGGAGACTTAGGTTGAGGTTCACCCTCCAGCAGAATAAGGATCTTAAGCATGCTGCTATAGCAACACCGGTGCTTCAATTCAAATCCAAATTAAAATCCAGACATAAATCTAATTGATGCTTCCTTCAATCTGACTGAGTTTGAGAAATTTTGCAAAAAAGAAACATCTGCAGATGCGTAAATCTGGTAGAGCCATCGCCCAAAACAACTCTACAAAGTATTGACTCAGGGGGGCTGAATACATGCATATGACTGGCACACTTTTCAGATATTTGTTTCAGAAAAAAATGTGAAAATCACGTATCATTTTCCTCCCACTTCACAAATATGCCCAACACAAGAACTATAAAATCAAACATTGATGTTTGTGTCTCCAACGCTATCCAAATGCGAGAAAGCTCAGGAGGTATAAGTTCTTTTGAAAAGCGCCATAAATCAGCCCGGTTTCAGCAATGAAGAACTCCGCCTGCAACGCGTTGCATTAATGTAGATATAACACTTCACTTTTTGACGCGTCGCCACTGCGGCGCGTGGGTAAAATTGTACGACAATAATAATAACAGTAATTATAACGACAAGAGTTAGCTAAGAGCATTGTTGTGTGGAAAGTGACCCAGAGAAAGCTAACGGCTGCTCAAGTGCTGCTGCTGCTGCTGTGTGGTAGGAAATGCTGATGGTGCCTTTTTTAAGTCAGTGCTAACCCAAGCTGTGCCGAGCCGAGCGAAGCTGTGCAATGCTGCCCAGGGCCCATCAGCAGGGGCCTAGACCAAGGGAGGTGCTCTGTGTCATTTTAAAGCCTTAGTTTCTCTTTGAGGATACCGAGACATTGAAATTGGTCTGTTTTGTTTTTTTTTTCTTGATTTTTTTTTTGTTTGTTTTTTAAACATGAGCGCTATTGTACAAAGGCTTCAGCCACTCATTAACATAAAACTCAGTATAAACTGAGAATAGGGGGGCCGGGGGGGAGCAAAAAGATGCTTGAAAATCATAAAAAAAATATATATATATATATATATATATATATATATATATAAAGAAAAAGCCATTTCACGTTTCATTTTCATCTCGCACACATGTAGAGAAGTACACACAACATTCACAATGTGACAAATTTCCTCTCTCCTTAAAAATAAAAAAAAATGCTTCTGTACACATAAGTAGTAATAATAATAATAATAATAATAATAATAATAATAGCAATAATGTTTATAACAATAACAACAGCAAGAACAATAATACCGCATGTGGCTCTTGATTTTTTTGTCATCTTTTCCTTTCTCTTTTTGCTTCATTCTACAAGTCACGTCCCTCTTACCTGTCTATTAGTCCAAAAGAAGTTCAAAAGGCAGACTCAAGTTAATAGAAAAGTACTAGAGTGGAAGAGGAGCCTCGCCCTCAGCCGAACCGCTCCCGAACTAGCATCATCAGTTTCTTTTTGCCCTTGTAAATCTGTTTCAGGTTGTCTATGAACTGGGTGAACTGGATGTGTCCGTCGTGAGCCATCATGAACGTCTCCCGGGCCTTCCCCAGGAACTCGATGAACTCGCTGTAGTGCCGCGGGCTGATGTGCGTGAGCCTCGAGTGCGTAGTGTTAATGTAGGCCCCGATGGTTGCGTCCAGCAGCTGCCTGAGCGGCGCCTTGTCCAGCGACATCAGCTTCCCAGAGTTCCTGCGGCTGTGCAGCGCCGACACCATGCCCGGGGTGGTCAGCGTGCACCGCCGCAAAATGTCAGACAAAACGGTGGCGCACTTCACACTTTTGACCACCAGGGGGATGACGGCGGCCAGCTCGTTCTTGCCCAGCGAGTGGCTGAGCGCGCAGGCCCACAGTACGTCGTTAATGGCCGGATGCGTGTCCTGGTTGTAGCTGAGGTTCAGGTGAGCCATGGCTAACGTCGCCAGCTTGTACGCTCGCATCGGATAGCCGCGGTGCTCCATGTAGCGCGCAATGGTGAACAGCTGCGTGTAGCTCATTCCCGTTGCTGCAGCGTCCAGTACAATCTGGTAGGCTGTCTCGAAGGCAATGTGGTCTTTTTCACAGAGTGTGAGAGCGGAGAGGGCGCAGTTCTGGGGGTCCTTCATGGCACACTGCAGGGCGAGCGTACGGGCGGACGAGGCCAGGTTCTCCTGCTGGTGGCAGTCCAGGTGCAGGCGAACTATGGTGCTGTTGGACATGACAGTGGTCGCCACAATACTGGTGGCTTCTGTGGGAGTGAAGAGCGTGAACCAGCTCTGCATGATGCTGTCCAGTGCATAGACACCTGGAGGACACATTTTGAGAGGAAAAATAAAAACAATAGGTGAGGTTAAATTTGGAGAACAACGGCAGATCTAGCTCATGATGGGAATAAGACTCACCAACTTCAGTGGCACACGTGACCAACCAGCGAACCATCTCTCTCCTCCTCCAGTTCAACGTGGACAGTGTTATTCTCATGACCTGAAGGAGGCAAGAAGTGATGGAGAAGGGAGAGACAGGTGAGTTAATTCATTATCTGAAGGGCTGAACTGTTTTCCTTTCCAGCTCATGTTAATTCTGCGGCAGGCTATCGAGCAGATACAGATGGATTTATAAAATGCCAAAACACATAAAAACACTGCATGCAGGAAAGCTTTTCCATTACGGTTTGGTCCAAACTAATCTCATTAACAACCTTGATTAAGTTCATAGAGGTTAATGTCAGTGATACTGAGGTCTGGACTTTGACTTAGATATTGCAACACATTGTTGCTATAATTTTTGCTTATTTTTTCAGGCATTGTTTCGTAGATTTCCTTTCAGCAAAATGCATGCACACATTTAAAATGGAACCAACACATAAAATAAATATTTGAAGAAACTATTATAAAAATAAAGTCATGGTGCAAGAATGCTATCGTTCATTTGAGGCAGGAATTAAATCATTTATATGCAACATATTGAGGGTAAAATGAAAGAAAATAGAAAAGTATTTGCTTAGTTATGATTAGAAGCTCCTGGTCCAGGAAGACTGGGTTGGTAGAATTTCTAGAACAAATGTTATTCCTAAGAGCAAAACAAATCAGTGCAGAATTTGCATGATTACATCATTCACAGCAACTGGTGAATATAAAACGCAGCAATGCAACAAAATAATACTACAAAAAAGAACAGGGATTCTGGTAAAATAACCGAATCAACACGCAGAACTTTAAAACCGTGCAAGAACATGTCCAGACATTTAAAAAAAATAAACTTTTCAAAATGTGTGTCTGTACAAAAGCCTTTTAACTTACAGGAGATGGATTTTTTTTTGAGAGAGAGAGAACTACAGGAACTACAGGAAACTGAAACTTTTAGGAAGATAAAAACCGTTTCACCTGCTTATCAGTGACTATAGCCTCAGGTGCCAAACACAAGTGAGCCCCACCAACCGTCTGATTTGTGATTACTGCTAGAAGCGGGTGGCCATTTCTGCCGCCGGCCACTATGTGTTTGCACACCTGCAGTCCGAGCTCCAGAGAAACCTTAAGAAGAGTGATGTCCGGCAGGCTGTCCATGAGAGTGGCGATCTTGAAAGCATCCTGTGCCAGTTTGAAGATGTGAGACGAGGAGTGGATGTTTTTCTGGATGGACTCCAGGACCGTCTCCAACCTGCGACTGTCACCTACGAGGATACAAGCCAGAAATAAGTTAGGGTAAGGTCATCACTTAATCAACTTAAACTAAACTTTAAACGGACTGTTATTTAACTTTTATTTGGTAGGGGACAAAAGACTGAGAAGTAATTGTCAACAAAATGAGTTGTGCCACAATTATTGGTACCGCTAGTAATTCCTAGAGCAATAATCTAATTCAGGCATTATTGCAATTTGTGTCTAAATTAAATTGGCTCCGAAGGTGTAGAAGCTTTTAATTAATAATGCTTTGTTTCCTCTTTTCCTGGGGTATAGTTTTGATGTAACACAGAAGTCCCATGTTTCTTAAAATGGGAAAGGCAAGAGAAGTTGGCCATCAAGTAAGCTAGGTGTGTCTTTATCTTAGTAAATAAAGAAATGCCTACAAGAGAGTAAGCCTTGTTTTTCGAAGCAAGTGAATTTGTACCTTTAGCTGCAGTGAGCATGGTGGAGGCCAGCTCACACTGCTGAGACTCTATATGGCTCAGGGTGAACCAGCGCGGGTAGCGATTGGGAACTACAGACACAATGTGGTGAGGTCGCGAGAGGTCACCGGACGATGCCGTGGACTCCAACACCGGCAACCTGACAGAGAGACACAGTTAAAAAAAAAAAAAGGTGTTCTTTGTGAGATACATTTTCCATTTTAAAAATATGACATTACTTTTAAAGTTTTCCTTTTACTTTAATAATTAGAAACTTTCGCAAAATGATGGGGGGGGGGGAAGCAGAAGAAAGATAAATGAGGGTTGATGATCAGAGAGAACCACATTAAAGTTGCCCAAATGATCAACATCATAATGAAATCACTTCTTTCTTCCTAGTGTAACAAGCAGTCAGACAGGAATACTGCATAGACAGAAAAAGTCTTCATTATGGCGCTTTGAGTGTGACTTCAAAATGAAAATGACTCAAGTCGCCACCGGGGGGATTTCAGTTACCCTATCCCTGCAATTTACTTTCAACCTACCATTTAATCACCTAGAAACTAAGGTATAATTAGTATTTTCTTCACTCTAATTGGTCATAATGAAGTCAGAGTTGTGCAACACCTGCTGGAGGATGGAAGAGCTTCTCAGGTTTCTGTCTCTTATTATAATAATCCAGACGGGGCCGAGGCTTCTGGAGCATCAGGAGCCCCATACGATTACCACTGTGGCCTGCTCATCTCCTATTCTACTTCACTTTTTTTTTCTTTCCTGCCTCTGCTCCCACCTCAGTTTCAAAGGTCTTCTTTCCTTCAGAAGACGGCACAACCTGGCCTTCTCTCAGCCAATCACAAAGCTAATTGAGTCCATGGGGAAATTAAGGAATTCACCTTCCAGCCCTGTAAGGCTGGACACACATCAAACAAATACCAACACACATCAGTGAAAAGAGACCCACATCGAGCGCGCGCGCACACACACACCTGCCCTTTTGAAAACACATCAAAGCTGCCTGGTAAAAGCAACGTGATGCTAAATGCCAGTTTCAATTTCAGAGCAAAGTGCATGTGATCTTGCTGCCACGTGAGTGAAGGCATGTACAAGAACAAAAAACAAAACAGTCTTGTCTTTTGCTCACTTTTGCCCACAAGAGCACAAGGGGAGGGCTGAGCTCTCAGACAGCAAAAGTGCTAAAAAAAAAAAAAAAAACACAACAAAAGTGTGAACACCAGCACTTGCTGCAAAATAGAGATGCTTGCGAGCTCCAGCAACGGCAGAGTTCATGCCACATACAACTGAGGAGCTGCTAAAAGCTTCTACCACACTGGGGCCTTCAGAAAGATTCCTGGGGTGTAGAACTGCAAAGCAAAGCAGAGTTAAAAAAAAAAAAAAAAAAAAAGAGAGAGAGAGAGCCTTGACTAAAGATGGAGGCCTCATCAACATTCCTGTCTTTGTTTGGTTTTCACCAGAGAGCCAGAGGCCTCCATTGGATAAGAACTTGAGAGGACTGAAAAATAGTTTCCTCAAAAGGTTTGGGAGGAAAAAGCTATACCAGGTTATTGTTCAGTAGAAAACAAAAGAAAAAAAATGATTACAAAAAGGACTGAAAAAGTCTTTGTGGGCTGCTTGATAAAATAGCACAAGGACAGTTTATTCAGTGATGCTTTCTCATTGAGCATGTTGCACCCCCTGCCAAACAGTGCTTACACGTTTTAAACGCTGGGACATTGCCAGACAAACTCTCAAGTCATTGACAAGTGTGATGAAAGCAAATTAAATCCGCTTTTCTTTACAACCATGCTGAAATAGAAATGTGTCATCAATAACTATAAAGACTATGGAAGCAATATTGAAGTGCTACGCTATTTTGTCAAAGTGAAGTTTGCTAGCACACAACATCATCTGCTGAAATAAGTCCAAGTAAATGGAGAAATGCTTTAATCCTAAAACTCTGCATTGCAACTACAGCTGCTTACAAAAGGATTCATAATTAATCTCTTCACCAAGAAGAGATTAATTAAAAACCGCCTGTGTTTATGTTTTATACACATGTTGAACTGTTGCCCTGTTGTGTTGATGAAGTCAGCAAATAATATCTTTGGTTTGGTCAACAACACTAAGTTACTGTATTTATCAATCTGGAAGTAAAAAGAAATGATACAGTGAAACACAAGATAAAAAGTGTTTTGGCATCAGAGTTGCCATCGTTACTAAAATAAAGGGCTGATTTAACAGCAAACAGATTCTTTAAAAACATGATACATTGCAACTATGAGACACTTATTTTGAAGTACAAAAGGAATCATTTTTTGGGTTATATCCCTGTTGCGTTGACAAAGTTGTCTAATAAAGATGCTGACAATGCTTGATAATACCTTTATCTGGCAGCATTTGGATACTAAGCAAAAGAACTTAAAAAGCCACAGAATGAGAAGCAAACTACAAATGATTTGTAGATCATTCTACAAATCATAAAGATATGGCGAGTAGATAACTGTTAGGTGCCAACAATGCTAACGTGAGAATCTGCTTCTTAGCTCTTATAAGCAATGATGTGAACTTGACAACCTATAGTTTTGAAATAATTTTGAGATGATTCACATCAGTTCAATTCAAAAATACTTTTTTGGTCCCAGAGGGAATAAACATATTACACAATTATCTTCAAAGAGCAGTCAGTATTACAGTGGTTCTGAAGAAGCCTCCGACTGAAGACAATGTTGTTGTGTAGCGGTCTCATGAAGAGAATGCCCAGTACTGCCTTGACTAATTTTCTTGATTTTATGCAAAATCCTTCTTTGCACCATCCTCTCCAAAGCTTCCACAGTCGTCCCGAGAACAGAACCAGCCTTCTTTATCAGGTTGTTGAGCCTTTTAAAGTCTCTGACCCTGATACAGCTTCCTCAACAGATAATGACAGAAAAGATTACACTCTCCACAAGAGACATGTAGAGTGTTTCATAGCAACTTGCTGCAAATCTTGAAGCGCATATGCTTTCTCAAGGAGTAAACTATGTTCAGTCACTTCATGCAGATCCAGTTTGTTGTTCAGGTCAAAACCGAAGCATTTATGCTCCACCTCCTCCACCTCTTCTCTCATCATAGAAACAAGGTTTGACCCTGGTGTCTGCTAACTATGCTAAAAGTTAGCACTCCTATTGGTGCTAAGTTGAAGGACTAACCTGACACTATGGTTTTAAATTAATGAAACCTTTATATTATTAGGAATGTGAAATTCAATATTTTATTCACGAGGACCACTTCAGAATTAGAAACAAAACATTGAGAAGCCAAATCTGCACAAGAATATCAAACAGCCATTGTAGATTTTTTTTTTTTTTTTAAACAAAGTGGAATATTTTCTCTGTCTGTGAAACAAACAGAAATGTTCAACCTCTGGTATTCGTGAGCTGGATGAATGAAGACGGAAACAGTCCCTGGATACGCACATGCAATTAGACATTTCATAAACAGTTATGTAGGAGAATAGCAGGCGAAATTGTAAGCCTGCTGATGGCCAAAGTTTATTTATGGACACAAACAGGACGAACTATAAAGAAAATCTGTAGCAAAGAGGCTCAGCTGAGATGATGAGAAAAAGCAGTCCAGATAGGTTTTACCTAAATCCTGAGGCCCTTTGGGTTTCTGCTCTGCATCACCATGACGACTGACCTCTTTACCTCATGCTGCGTTTCCCGCTCTGACTGTAAACAGCCTTCACTTTCACCATTCATCAAACGCACATCTATCAGCTACATGCGACACATCCGGTGGAAGACCGCGACTGTATACACAAACTCTTTCAAGGGGAGATTTTCAAGAAGGACCAAGTCGTACATGACCAAACACGGAATATCTTTCTTTTGTTTTGTTTTTTTTGTTTCTTTCAAAGTGTGCGCGATGATTAAAACGACAATTTGCCATCAGCATTTCATTCTAAGACTGAAAAGAGAGGCTGCACAGTGGCGCAGATGGTAGAGCTGTTGCCTTGCAGCAAGAAGGTTCTGGGTTCAATTCCCAGCCCTGATCCTTCTGCATGGAGTTTGCATGTTCTCCCTGTGCACGCATGGGCTTTCTCCGGGTACTCCGGTTTCCTCCCACAGTCCAAAAACATGACTGTCAGGTTAATTGGTCTCTCCAAATTGTCCCTAGGTGTGAGTGTGTGTCTCTGTGCAGACTGGCAACCTGTCCAGGGTGTACCTCGCCTCTCACCCGGAACCCTCCCGACCCCACACAAGGGTGTAAAGAAAATAGATGGATGGATTTAAAAGTAGAAGGACAACATATACAGCATAAGTGGTTATTTCAGCAGGAATGTGCAGAAACTGTTGTTCCCATAAGAATCAGATGATATTTCATCAGATATATAAATTAGCTTTGAAGTTAACATTAGGGTGCAACAGTCTGTCAGTGAAGGAGCTTTCCAGTTCAAAAACAGCTTTATGCATGGAGACTCTCGGTGAATTGGAGAGCTCGTTCAGTGGCAGGCTGCAGTTTTCTTTAACTTTGGTCCTTTATTTTTCTGCAAAGCACTTTTAAAGGACCTTGTTTATGAATGCTGCAAAACAAATAGACATACTACATGTAGAAGAGTAAAGGTGAATGAATACAAATGCATGGAATTAAATGCATGCATCATTTTTTAAAGCCATAGTTCAGTGGCTATGCTTCTATGCAAGGCAGTGTATGTGTTTAGGATGAACTACAAATCTTGGCAAAGCGTTGATACATTCCTGGCAAACATGCAAAAGCACTCTGATTGTTCCATTTAATGCAGCAAATATTTGGCCAAAACTGGAACAAGATCAAATTATTTAAAATTAGTAAACATTTAAAGGCCTAAGATATTTGGCTTTAAAATTCTGGCAATTTGTAGTAAAAGTTCCCCCTGCTTACAGACCATGTATTATGCAGTAAAAATCCAGCACTATTAGATCTGGAAAACTTGCATCTCATTTGGACCTCTCCCACGATAACAGCAGGTCTCTTCTCTTTGGCTCACAAACAGTTAAGATGAGCACAGTCTGAAGAGGCAGTGACTTTTTTCTTCTGTTTCTCTGGCGGAAATCAAATTGTGGGCAGCCTGTGAACCAGCAGGCAGATCCTCTTTTCATTTATTTATTTATTTATTTTAATGTTGGTCACTCGCACCAAGCCATCGGCCGGCATATGCTGGTGTCACACCGACTAATTAACCTCATCCAAGACGCAGCAACACACACACACAGCGTTTTGAGTAAACCGCATACTTTGCCAGTCCGACTTCTCATTTAAAAAGACAGTTACTTGTGGAGCAAGTGACAAATTTTAAAAAGCGAGGAGAGAGGGGGGAGGGAAAAACAATGTGAGGGAGGAAGAGCTCGACTCTTTTGTCTCCTCTTTTATCAATGATAGTATTATAATAGGGCCATTAAAAGAGACCTGGTTACTTTACCTCCTCCTCTATATTTAACTGTCCGCTGTCCCGTGGGAGCGGGGAGGTATATGCTATCACATTACACTACGCTACATTACACACATTCATTATGTGCTGAGTAGACACCTCTGGTTCCCAGGAGCACTCATAAGTGGCTGTATTATTCTAAATCGCCGGTTTCACACCGGAGGAGTGAGGATGGAGGAAGCAAGGGGACAAAAAGGAAAAAGTGAGGGGAAGTGGTGAGGATGGGGAGAGAGTGGCCGACTCACTAAAAGCAGGTTGGGAACTCTGGTTTGGAGGCAACCAGCTGGATAAAACACAGAGCCTGTCAGCCTGCTATAAGGAGGATGTTATTTTTCTATATACTAACATGTTTAGAAGTGTCTGTCATCCTTCTGCTATATTTCAAGACACTCACTTCCTTTTCCAGAGTTGCTAATTCCTCAGCTGCACAAAAGTCGCTAAATGACATCATAACATTTGCATAATGTTCAAATTTCATGCAAGTGCAATGATCTTTGCCAAGAGGTGGAGAATGGGATGGATAATGTTCTTAAGAGTTTAAAAACTGCTTAAGACTTCAAAGTAAAAATGACCCAGAAGAAAAAGGTTAGCACTTTTTGAACACATTTATTTTGTGCCCTTTTTGGCTTTTTACTATATTTTCCTCTCTATGCTGGCTTTGTTTTTAACATGTTGCAGTAAAACGTCAGTGTTTTTTTTTTTGTTTTTTTTGTTCTATGTATTTTACAAAAATAGAAAATAACTGTCAATAGCAGTGTGGGAAAGTGAGGCAACTGCCTTGAAGGGATGAGCCAGCAGTGATTCAGGCGCTCCTTACGTGTGGAGAGGCGAACACCACCTGTCCGCTACCGCTGGGATGGACACGATTTGGCCGGCTGTGTGAGTCCCTGCTCATTGGGAGGAGCGAGTAGAACAACAACTGAATTTGCACTAACATCATAATCTCCAACCACACCAGAAAAGAGCGTTTTATTTCACACCACTACCTTCACCGAGTCAGTCTGAAAGACCGTTAAAATGATCGCTTTTTCTCCCCCCTTCCCCACCATCCTGATCAGCTCAGCTTAGCTTCACAGAAAGACAAACATTACCCCTCCACACCCCACCTTCTCTCCCCCGTTGCCTCGACGTGTGTACTCGAGTATATGTGCGTGTGATTCCTCCTCATTACAGCTGCGCTAATTACACTCTCATTAATGTAATTAATATTCACGGATCCAGCTCCCACAAGTCACAACATCAAAACAGAGCAGCGCAGGGCGATTAGTGCGCGCGCGCATGCTCCGCGCGCCGTCCACGGCTGAGAACACGCGGGAGCAAAACATGGAGAGATCAGACGCCCCTCTTGGACACGTTAGCCAAGAGGGGCGACCCTGGCTGAACGTAGAACAGACGTGGAACCGGAGGAAAGGCTGCTCTGACTTGAGGCTTAAACATGGGGAGGGAGGTACCGCTGTATTTATCTTGGTCATAGCAAGGGTATTAGCACTGTACTAAGCAAGTTTTCTCTTCCTATTTTATCAAACCTATTGGAACTAACAATGAATATAAAAAAAAAGAAATACATTTTTATACTATTTACACAAAAACAAAATATATGTGTTCTTTAATTTGGGTTTTTGTACGTTTTGTTTTGATTATATTTTAAGTATTATTCACATTACGTTTTAAAAACCCCAGCGGGACCCTGTTTAAGGAGTTCACCCCAACTTTGAAGTCTTAATGAACCTTCACAGGGATTAACTTTATTTACAAGAAGACCTACCGCATGGCTCTCAGTGCAATTTTGTACGCCAGTTCGGCGTCATGAGGTAGCAGAGAGGTGAAGAGATAGCGAGCGAAGGTGTGCATGGGGACGCTCTCTCGATGGACGATCTCTCCGAGGCCAGAGTACGGACCAGCTGTGAAGAAGAACCGACATAACGCAACACGCTGGTGAACAAATGTGTTTGCGGCAAACCAAGACGAAAGGAATTTAAACTTTTCATGCTGATAAAAAAGACTGAGTCATGATTTCCTGTGGCATGCTGAGGAGTGACGCTCCCTTCCAGACAGGAAGCGGGGAGCCACGCGGCATTTAAACAAAACCGTGACGTCAAAACACATATGGTCGTGTGTGCGGATTTGGCCTCGTGCCCTCCTCCTTCCCTCCGCATCTTCCTACGCGCCCCCTCATCTCTGGTGGGTTATTTTAAACCCCCACGGGCCTCTAAGCCGCAGACCACATCACAGAGCGGCGCGGCTGCAGGCCTCCTGGGGCCCCCGCAGCGGCCTCAGACCCGAGCTGCTCTATTAGCGAAGGAGCCAGAGGTGGGTGGTCGTGCCGCGCCGGGGACGAGGCAGGGCTGGGATTTGGGTGGGGACTGCAGCCGAGTCTGACTCGGTCGGTTCCACCACCACCTCTGTCCCTCCTTCCTCTTCCCCACAACCCACTCGCTCTCTTCCAGCTCCAGCTCCTGTAAACGCTCACACGCTTTTGTGTGTACCGGCATATGTGTGCTGACACAATACCCCTGGCGTTGCTGTGTAAAGAGCTCATTTTGGTCTGGCCCAGGACGGCTCAGCCTCTATTTGCGCCACAAAATGAAAGGATAATAAATAGTGAGACAGAGTCAAATGTGTTTTTCCTGTTTTAGCAGGAATGCCTTGGCTCTCTGTGTGTGGGTAGGTTATGAAATGACAGGGAGGAGGCGTTGCTGTGTATATATTTGTGTGCATTTGTACCAGAGCGGACTGCAGGGAAATTTAGAGAAATAAAAATCAACAGACGGTAAAAGCCGACAGAATCAATCTGTGGCTCTCCTTACCCTCGAGCAGAAACACAGCCTGTTTACGGAAGATTTTGACCAGAGAGTCATCCAGTTCCACTTCCTGCAGCTTGGCCAACAGCTGCTCCTCGTTGCGACACACCTTTTCCTGAGCGTACAGCCCGTCGGGCATCACCCGCTGCTGGCCCAGGCCGATCAGAGCCGTCTCCACCGCCAGCGCCATGTACGACTCGCCGTCTCCCAGCAGCCGCTGCACGGGCATCCGCTGAAGATCGGCTCGGCTCACGACGCTGGAGCAGTCTGCGAACACAACGCCGTGATGTCTGTGTCACTCTCTGGGGTTTTGGATGCTAGATGGCTCTAGTTTACATGAACATTCCCCGCAGATCCTACGAAAGCAGCTCTAAGTGGGCATGTGAAATGCATGTGAACACATTAGGAGGGAATCTGTGCTAACTGCTCCTCTTTAGTGTAGAGGGCTATTTCTGTTAGCAGAGGAGGCAACGAGGGACTGAACAACCACACGCGTAGGAAAGGAGAGTTTTAGTACCCAGAACAGAAAATATTACGACTGTATTGCTTATCATTTCTGTGATACTGTGATCCTTATAATAAGGATCTAAATTTATTACCTACCAACTGTCTATATTGTTTGTTCAATAAGAGTATCAACACATTTGAAAATATGAACAAATGCAGTCAGTGTGAGCAGTTTAGTGATAAAACTCACATCAATTTATGTGACTGGAGTCGTAAAGAACCATATTACAAATGGATATGTTTTTCGAGAGCAGTATTTGTGTTTGTGGAACTATGATTGCTCTGCCATGCAGTCGCAGCCAAGTTAGTAACAAATAGTTGTTATTGTCACAATAGCACCACAAAATATTGTAATAACACGTTAAGTCTGTATCGCCCATCCCTATTTGGTACATTTTAAAATAGAAAACCTCAATAGAAATCATACTTTTTTTTCGTAAAGCACATGGTCTTGTATATGCTTCCATAACAGCAGATCTATTATGGATCTATTGTGGAAGCTAGTGTTTACTGCTGTTCATGTGACTCTTCAGTACCTGAGAGGTCTAAGCAGGTGTTGGAGCCTTCCTCACCCGCTCGTCCCGACTCCGTCAGGGTGCTGAACAGGGTGCCGATGGGATCCAGAGGGTGTCCCACCCAGCCCTCCATGTTCGTTATGGAGGTGTGGCCTTTATGGAGCAACTCTGTGAACAGATATTCAAGCAATTGTTGAATGACTGGGATTTATTTTATAAAATGGTACAATCCATCCATGCACTCCAAATTGACACCATCAAGATCAATCCATTGACAGTCCAAGCCCAGAAGGGATATATAGTCTATCCAGAGAGGTTGAGGCCTGCTACACCGAGTCTCTTTTTTTTATTTTTACAGTTGGAAAAACCCCTAACATCCTGATCAGATGCCTGAATCACCTCAGATGACTCATGTTGATGCCTAGGAGCTCTGCTCTGATGTCCTCACCTTATCTCAAAGGGTAAGTCCAGCCACCCCAGAGTGAAAGCTAATTTCAGCCGCTCTTATCAGGCATCTCGTTCTTTTTGGGCATCGAAAGATTGCAGATGAACTGAGAAAACGAAAGCTTAGCTCTTTTTGTTTCAGCTCTTTTTTTTAAACCACCAAAGAGCGGAGGAGCAGCAGAGAAGGGAATTGCGATCCGCGTCTGCATCTTTTTCTCTGTCCTAATACAAATCATCAGTTTCGATTCTACTCATCAGTTGGTGTTTCAGCATGAAACCACACACCTTTCAGCAGTTTTCTTCAGAAGAGAAGCTTTAACATTTCTGCTTAGCTAATTTAGAGGCGGGTATAAATGTGAATTTTTAGGGCGGCTCTGACGTTTTCAACCTATTAAAATCCCACAGCTACCTTTTTTGTGTCGTCGAAAGTGCTCCAGCTGCCTCTGCTGCTGCCTCCGTAACGTGTTCACCACGGCGATGGCCAGACGGAGGGCTTCTCTGGGGTAACCGTGTGAGCGCAGGGCGTCCACCCGAGCGCAGGCCGTAGGGACGTGTTCTGAGGAAAAGACAAGTCCCACCTTAATAATCCGGCTCCTGCTGTCTGATGGTCGGAGCCCAATTTCAGTGTTTAAATAAGTCATTTGAAACCTACATATATATGCAGACTCACCATGCCACAGAGGCCAGCCGCGTGAGTCGAAGAGGGAGCCCTCCTGGTTGTCATGGTAACAGTAGTTGGCATAGAGGTCACTGGCGATGATGTGTTGGAGGTGTCGGTCCTGCCAGTGCAGGTCGCAGGCCTCGATGGCTCGCGTGAACACGGTCCGGTGGGGACGCATCTCTGCAGAGGAAGGAGACGGTTTGAGCTCAAACGTCTTCAAAACTGCTTTAAAATCTGCTTATTTATGCAGTTATGCATTTATCAATTTCTAGGGAGAATGGCTAAATTTGTATGAGCATAAAGTAAAATCTAAATAAAATACCACGTTGACGGACTAGTTTTTCAGCAATCACTCCTGGACAGGATATTTGTGATTTTGGCAATATTTTGAGGGTGAAAGAAGAAAACCTCAGAGATCTCTTTAATATGGGATTTAAATGAGTTGGACTGCATGTGTGGTTGAACTGAATTGACGCTTCATAAATAAACTGAATTAAATTTAATAACCTGGTTGATTAATTTAAACTAAGGCTGAACGATAACTCCTTTAATTTCAATGGAAAGTTTCCCTTTCCACTGAACAAAAAGTGATCATTTTCAAATGTGTACCAATCTTGTGACAATGTGACACATGAGATTTCTAACCTTGGTTACCGTGAGCGCCTTGGGGCAGTGAGTGGGTGAGGTTGGGCAGCTCGTTGACGTGGTTGCCGTCCTCCCAGGGGCAGACGTCCACGCTGTTCCACCGGCGCAGCTGCCGCAGCCACGACAACTTCTGCTCGGGCTTGCAGTGGGGGTTCAGCACGATGCACATCCACAGGGCGCCTGCACATGCAGCGAACGCACAGACTTAATCTAGTGTATATGAGGATGATGTCGGCATAAGTGGGAAAGCGTGTCTTTTGAGCTTTAAAAAGCAGCTACTATCGTGTAAGGTCAAAAACTTAAAGCAGTATTTTTTTATTTTTTTTTATTTTTTTTTTGCTTTTCAGGAAAAAAAAACAAAAAAAATAACAGTGGATCTGATCCCTTAGAACTCTTTCTCTTTGCTGCCGCCATTTTCTGCTCAGACAGAACGAGACTTATCCAGAGGCAACGCTGCCTGCACACACATCATTTTGGAATACATTGGAACAAACAGAATGTGAAAAACGGCACAGTCTCAGGGGAAGCGAGAACATTCAGGGATTTTACTCTCAAGAGTGCTGGAGATGCATACGCTTCTACGGTGAGTGTGTGATTTTGATACAGATGTGCGGGTGAACAGACAGAAACATTTTGGGGAGGAAAACCCGAAACAAGGGCAAAGAGAAGGGATGTGAAGGCTGAAACCGACGGAACAGTATGTGCAGACTATGGCGACAGAAGAGCACAAAAAACAAGAGTGGAAATGATTTGCAACACAAAAAAAAAGAAAAAAAAAATATATATATATATCTCAGGGAGACATGGGCAAGGACAAGTGGTTGTGGCTCAGCTGAGACTCAAAAGAAGAGAAAGACAAAAGCGGGGATAGCAGTGCCGAGAGGCAGTATTCACACATCAGGTGGAGTGATAAGGACTCTGGAAGAAAGGTTTGAAGTGCGGACTTCAAAGAGTCCAAAAATACGTGGGACTGAAACAGACGAGATCACTGCGCTGTCTTCACAGAGTGTAGAGGAGGACAAACACCGTCTTCATCATCGACGGCGACAACAACAGCAACGCCAGGGGAGAGCAGCAATGATGGGAGATGCTGCGGCTGCCGTCCCGCTGACGGGCTTGTGGGGTTCAAACCGTGTTGGCGTTTGCCGAGCGGCTCTCTGTCACATCTACCACGAATATAAGGGGAGATGTTTGAAAACACTGCAGAGGTGAGGCTCTGTGTGCTGCATTAAACGGCTTTTAATTCAAGAAGATCTCGTCTAGAGCTGCCAGAGCTACAGTCACAGTGAGGGAGGGAGAGGAACCGGGCTGTCAGCGACGAGTCAGCGCATCGGAGACTGTGGGCTTTCTTGGACATAAAAGCACAAGAAAACAAACAGAAACAAAAACATGCCTCTGTGCCTTTGTGTCAACGTCTGGGTTCGATCACCCATCTTGCTAAATCTGTCAGTTCCTGTGTATACAGGGGGAGAGGTGTGTGTGTGTGTGTTGTTGTCGTCGTTGTCTCCCCCCCAACCCCCTCACCGAGCTCGTCCCAGAGCTGTCTGTACTTGTCGGTCATGGTGGTGCCCTGCTGTCTCCATAGCGCCAGCCGAGGGTCGGCCATGAACTGCTCTGTGATCAGTGTTAACATCCTCGCTCCGTTGGAGTCGCGCATCTTCAGCATCTCCCTCACCTACACAGGGAGGGACGGGACAGAAACACACACACACACACACACACACACACACACACAGTTTATACCAGGACATGCACAACAAGCAGCGGACATGATAGCTGAACATATTCATGCTTCAGCTACAATGACTAAATTTAGAATATGAAATTTAGAATATGAGGTTTCAGGGGAAACCTTACCCAAAGGTTCAATTAATCCTAATTTACTTTGAGTCTAGATGGGCTGGTATGAGATTATCATGGTGTGACGACATTGAAAAAATAGGTTATTATTGTATTTCAGCTAAAGGGGAGAGACACCACTGGGGGCCTGTTAGTTGTTATAAGAAGCATTAGACTGTTTTAATGCCACTAATTATTATGAAGCATTTTGTTTAATAAAATGTAAACAAAGCCAGACAAGTTATTTTTATTTATCCCTGTGCTATGCAAGCTTTGGAATGTTCCTTTCTAGATAGAAACATATTTCTTGGCTAAATTAGGTCAGTTAATTTTTATAACATAGATTCAAATGTAACCCAAAGACAGGTATATAAATAAAATTAAGAAAATGTATAGTCAATTTTCAACTAGTTGAAAGTCAAAAAAACAATGAAGTGTAGCTTCAGAATGAAAATACATCTTGGTAGGGGTATAAAGGATTTAGCTATTTTTATTGTTATATTGACACATATACAAACATTTTGTAAGAACACTTGAGAAATTACATTTTTTTAACAGAATATTTAAAATTTTGAGTGTGATTGGCAATATTTTCAAACAGCCTATTTCAGTCTTTTTTGAAAGGAAAAAAAATGTAGCTGGTCTCTTTCAACCAGCTGACCGGCAGTGCTCAACAAGCAGGGGCTGTGTTGCTTCAGATAGCTGGAGAAATCTCCTGGTCAGTGATTTTCATGTGTGCATTATACCTGATGCACACATAAAACATGAATGTATGAAGCTTCATGTGTTAAAGAGTGTCACTTTTGTTTGCTGCTGCTCAGTAGTAAAAAAATGAGTGCTACTTTCTGTGTGTTTTTTTCCAGGCCCCACTTGTGAGGGAATTTATTAAATAACCTCACAGAGTGAAAAAAACAAACTTTGACTTAATTTTGGTTTTAATAGAAAATGTTGAAGCTGTTGAGGATCGCAACCAACCAATAAAAAACGTTTGCCAGTCTTGAACAAAATCGATGCAAAATTTGCATCAAATACATGCCAGCTTTCATGACCACCACCTGTCATGGTCAACTCAATAAATTATTCCACAAATTAAAAAAAAAAAAGAAACTGTTCAACGGGTCTTGTGACGAAATTCTTCTCATTTTATGTAGCTTGGCTTTGCTCTGAAGTATTCATAAGAGCTCTCTAACCTTGTCCTTGCCTTTTCTTTTCTGCTTTACTTGAAATAAGCCTCAGACACCTTTTCAAATTTGCCTCAATAGTTGTTTTTTGTTGTTGTTGTGTTCTGTTTTTTTTTTTTTTTTTCTGCAATTTCTCAAAGAGTTTGTATATTCTTTAAAGCAAAAGATCACAGAAAAAAGGTGTGGGATTAAAAAAAAAGGAGAGAGAGAATGGATTCCTGACTTTTGCTACCCACTTATTTGTTTGGGGAGGATGCTGTTGAATTACAAGTGTGCAGACGCAGCTCTGTGTGGGCGCTTAAGGATCTGTGCAAGGTGGCTGAGAAAACGTGCCTGTCATTGTGTGCATGTGTGTGTGTGTGTGTGTGTGTGTGTGTGTGTGTGTGTGTGTGTTATATTAAAGAAGATAACTGGCTTCAAAGTGCATGGAGCTGAGAGACATTCTAAAAGCCAGGCGAGCTGGATGATAATGGCCTTGGCTTGCGGTCTTTACATAGCACACAATGCATTAATGCTGGCCTTGCTCAGCCACTGTAATAGCAGGCAACTGAGTGAGGCAAACATCTCTCATGTAAGCGTTTAATATACGGTGTGTAGTGCAAGGCTTCCCACTTTCTATACCTCGTTTTTTTCTCCCTTTATCTTCTGTTCCCTCACTCCTACAATTAGCCTGAGCTAAGACACGGTCTGCCCTTTAATGTATGTGCATTATGTGCTTTCTTTTATTCCCATTTCTTGAGGGAGTAAAGGATGATGCAAATGCACAAGAGAGTGGGAGAAAATATCTATTGAAAGGACCTGAGAAAGCTCAAAGGGAGGGACGTCGTGAACCTACACAGGCTGTGTGTGAGTGTGTTTTCTGCTCTGATTCTGGATGAATCAACGTGAACGCGGTTCCAACCTTGCTAAAGAGCAGGTTGAGCTGCTTTCCTGAGCCGTGGTAGCCTCCCTGGGACAGGAAGAGCTTGACTTGTTCCTGAACCTGCTCCTCGTCCAGGTGCCAGCAGTTCTCGTCATCCACGCTGGCTCCAGCTGTAGGGTCCGGGGCCCCTGTACGGGCAAAAAAAAACAAAAAAACATACACTCTTAAAGCACATAGCACTTGGATTTCCCCCATAGCCTTTTGTTTTGATGACAAATATAGCTTCAGATGTGGGGAGCGAGTTATTTCACACCATGGTAGGATATGTGTTGTTTATTTTGTGTTTGATCTTAAAGACAAAAAAAAAACAAACAAAACAAAAACAACCTAGAAACAAAAGGTTTTCCTGAATGTACTGTACTTCACCAGCATTGATCCCTATGATCTCTATGATCATGCCATCCCTGGTGAAGATGTGTAAAACCCGTAAAATATATTTTTGGTGATGTCAAGCTTATTCATTTCTTAAGAATTTATTTAATCAATTTATAAAACAATGCAACACTCATAAAAAACAAACAAACAAAAAACAACAACATTATCCTAGCCAAAAGTACTCTGTCTGAAGTCTAATTCACAACCTTGGTGAGTTTTAAAATTACAAATAAAAAGAAACATATTTAATACAAGAAGTACAACACAAGTTAAGAATAACACAAACATGTATTCATCTGATTTAAAATTACAGCAGCATAAAATAATTCATAAAACTGTTAACTGTTGCTTGAGTGTCTCTGTTTAAGCCATTTTGTTCACCTGGGATCCTCCTTTCTGCTGCACTTCTCCAGCAGCAACCTGAATGTTTTTGCCTCCCTTAGCATTTTGTCCATGGTTGACTGTCACAAATCTGGTTGTTTTAAAACAACCTACTTGTTTTCTGTTTCTTTGTCTTTCCCATTTTGAAGAGTAAGTGAAAGAAGTGGGACTCTTTGTCATCTCACATTTACAACCCAGAGAAACAGGAAGTCATTTATTAGGCTACTTGATTCTCTGTCCACTTAAAAAAGAAGTAAATAATGATCAATGATGAGAATGGTTCATCTATATTTATTTCAAAGGAATGTTTAGGGGCACCAATAAATATAGTGCTGGCATTCTTGTAATAAAAAAAAAGACAAACTATCATGGGACCTTTTTTTATTTGATTTGATTTTTTTTTTTTTACAATGTACTCATTTTAAGAGTTTAATTTTTCTAATTTTATTGAAAATATGTTTCATTCACTGACTGGACTTTAGTCTGGCAGCTTCCAAGTGCAAAGTGTTGGTAGTTTCGTCTATGTGAATTTGCAGAATGCTAATAAAGTGTTTTGTTTAAGAAGTTAACATGTACATTGCTAGATTGTAGATACTGAAGCAATTAAAAGCACGTACTGCAAAGCATCATGTGGGATCCTGCATTTTCTTCTGACGAGAAGACAGATTGGTTCTAGCTTGCAGAATGCATTTGAACTAAACAATCTCCTAATCCCTTGCACATGTGTGACAGGGCAGCTCTGGACCCTGACAGAAACTGATTCTCCACACTGTGAAAATGCCTTTGGTTTGCATTTGCAGAGATTTTCTCAGAAGGTTAAAAGGTTTCTTTGGTCTCGCTGATCTCTTTGCTCATGTTGTCTCTTCCTCTCACAACTCTTTTCTTTGTGGCCCCCTCCCTCGGTTTCCTCATATTTCCTTCCTCCAAGTCAGTTTCCTGTGTCTTTATTTCTGATGTCTCTTTTTTCTCGTCAGAGCTACTCAGCAGTAGCTCATCTTCTTTCTTAGTAGTCTTATGTTTCCTGCCCCTGTGGGTTTCTCTTTCTGTCTTTTGCTTTGCTTTTTATTTTCCTCATCTTCCTCTAAGACCTAAATTGGTCGACAGTGTTGATTACAGTCTCTGCTCTGCTACATGGATCTGATTAATAAGTAACATTGATCCTGACACACTTTACCTTCATCAGACAATCAATATCTATGACTGTAGGGGCAGGAAGGTACACATCAACTGCAGATGGGCACGTTATCCTAACCATCCTCAAACACACACTGGCTTCCTCACCGTGAACCTGGTTGATCTCAGAGTTCTGCGACAGGATCTCGTCGGCCAGCTTCTGCGCCGTGGGCAACACCTCGGTGTGGTGGACCGATATCAGGTACTGGACGAACTTCTGCAGCTGGTCTCTGCTCATCTGGAACAGCGTTTCCGAGATGGGCAGGTGCAGCTTGACCTGCTCAGGCTTGCGCACCCTGTAAAGTGACAGCGCCACGACGTGGGCGCAGTAGAAGATGTCCTTGTTGCCGCAGGTGCACGTCACGGCGGTGATCTTGCAGCGGTCGAAGCTGACGCTGACGCTGCAGACGAGCTCCGGGGACGAGGGCGTGGCGGGATCTGTCACCGTGCCGCTCAGGTGGAAACCTGGAGAAGAATCGGAAAAGGGAGAGGAACTGTTATAAATTTTTTTTTCAATAGATAGGGGTTGTTATTATTATTATTGTTATTATTAGAAGTGATTTCCAGGACTAGTTTCTACTCCTACTACTGCCGTTGCTCCGTGAACCAATCATTTCTAAGCAGAAGCTCGATAATGTCAGGAGCTCTGTGTCCACACAGCATCCAGAATCAGTTACCTGCAAATTTAATCGCTTGATCAACTCAATGAACGTGTCCTTTTTTAAGTGACATTATTGAAGACCAAAGACTCTCAGGATGTTAATACAGGTGCAGCTGAGCAATGTAGAACAGTGGTCCCCAACCTTTTTATTACCGCGGACCGGTCAAGACTTCGAAAATTTTGGTGCGGCCGGGGGG